AGAACATTTTGAGACTAGTATAATCGAACTCACTCAATTCAATACAGTTATTATCTGTGTATACAGAACTCCTAACAGTAACATCAATATATTTATTGAAACTATGGACATAATAATTAACGAGTTACTAAATAAAGGTAAGAAAATTATTATTGTAGGTGACTTCAATATAGATTTCTTAGGAAATAGGGTAAACCTACAACTACAGACAATGATCAATTCATACGGCTTGCAAGCAATAGTGGATGTTCCAACGAGAATCGGTTCTAGAAGTCAAACGGCCATAGATCAAATAATATTAAACAAGGGCTTATGGGAATACAAATTTGAGGTGATTGAAACAGGATTTTCTGACCATAGCGCACAGATATTACAAGTACAGATGCAGCAAAAGAATAAGAATAAAAAAGGGCAAGCCAGAGCAGAGGGAGAATATAGAATGGTCAGAACTTATAGCGAAAAAAACGTTCAATATCTAAATTATCTACTAGACAAAGAGACTTGGGAGCTTGTTTTTAAACAAAAATCAGCGAACAATGCATATAATGAGTTTTTAGATACTTTTCAGTATTATTATGAAATAGCAATACCAAAAAAATGGGTAAAAAGTAAACAGCATGAAAACAAATGGATTACCTCAGGTATAAGGGTATCAGGAAAGAGACTCCAATTTCTTAATAGGCTAATGAAAGAAGGGAATATTTCAGAAGAATTAAAAAAATACTATGGTCAGTACAAGAAAATTTATAACAAAGTGATCAGTGAAGCAAAAAAATTATCCAATAACATACAAATAAGAACTTCCAGGAACAAATCAAAGGCTATGTGGGACCTAATCAAGGAGGAGCTAGCCATAGCTTAAGCGATTAGTCGCTGGCTTCCCACCACTGCGATCTGGGCAAGTGGGATTTGTGATGGACAAAGTGGCGCTGGGGCAGGTTTCCTCCGAGTACTTCGGTTTCCCCTGCCAATCTTCATTCCATCAAATTCCACAAATAAGAATATTTAACTAATTCTACATTGTAATCAACTGTAAACAATCAGCTGTAATCAACTATTGTAATTTTAATCTTACTCATATATTAAATTGTTAATATTCAGAATTAACTTGACTTGTCCTATATCATGTACAATGATCTACAGCGACGAAATCAATCAATCAATCAATCAATCACTGTAGTTGAAGATTTCAACAAGTATTTTAGTGGAGTAGCGGATACCATTCACAAACACATTAAGAATAACTGTATAAATCCCAATCCCAAAACAAAATCTAATAACTATATGACTTATGTGTCAATGGCTTTCGAGAGTCCATTCCCAAGTATACAAATCAAAAAAACTACTTATAAAGAAATAGAAAAGGTAAAAGGGTCCCTCAAAGCAAGCCAAGCTCAAGGATATGACGAAATTTCAAACAATATACTGAAAGCTTGTAAAACCTTTATTAGTGTTCCTTTAAGTTACTTATGTAACAGGATATTGTTTGAAGGAGTATTTCCTGATAGATTAAAATATGCTACAGTGTTGCCAGTATATAAAAAAGGTGATAAAAACAGGGTATCTAACTATAGACCTATTTCCATCTTGACATCTATAAGTAAAATATTTGAGAAGGTAATGTATAGTAGTTTATTAAAACATTTAAATGACAACAGCATATTAAGTAACCATCAGTTTGGATTTAGAGAAAAACAGGGGACTGAAAATGCTATTTTTAGACTTATTTTTGGAATATTAAATTCACTAAATAATAAAATGCTAGTCAGTGGGATATTTTGTGACCTGGAAAAGGCTTTTGACTGTGTTAGTCATACAGTATTACTTAATAAATTAAAGTATTATGGAATAAAGGATAAACAATACAACCTATACAAATCATACCTACAGGATAGATTTCAGAGAACTACCATTTATAATGGAACTAACAATAAAAAAGTATATTCAAGATGAGCTAAAGTAACTAATGGTGTTCCACAGGGGTCAATACTGGGACCTCTTCTGTTTATAATATATATAAATGATTTGCCCAAGATATTGGAGGCAAAAAGTACACCTATTTTATTTGCAGATGATGCCAGTGTGTTAATCTCACATGCAAATCCAATTATGTTTAGAAATACAATAAACGAAGTATACAGTTTACTAGATGACTGGTTCAAAAAAAACTTAATGTCTTTAAATACAATGAAAACATATTNAGTTATAGTATAATAAGTTTCATGATGTTACTACTGTGGGGGCTGCATGTGAAGCATGCAGTGCAACGTGGAATTTGGGTACCAACTCAGCATTTGCTCTGGGACCAAGGAAAACCACGGAAAACCTTGATCGAATTGGCCGGTCACAAGACCTCCCAGATACACTGGTTTCTAGCAGCACCACTCCCACCGCCTCGGCTCCATATCCCATAGTCCCTGCTGTGTTTTCTCCAGCACATGGCGTCCTGTTTCCTGCAAGAAGAGAGTTACGCAGTATACACTCCTAGTGTGTGTTAAGCTAAGCTCAATTGTTCTTACTTTTAAATTATTATATGATCCTAATGTGAACTAAGTCTTGTCCACATAGGAGAGGAACTCATCTATGCTATAAAAGCAATGTTTTAATAGAAATGTTTTCAAAGTAATTTTAAATTTACATAATGCTGGTATCTCTTTAATGTATTGCGGTAGGTGGTTTAGAAGACGAAGACCAAGATTATTGAAATTGTTTTTACACAAGCTTGTATTGCATGGAACAATGTATAAGTCCTCTTTCCTTCTTGTATTATATGAGTGTACATTTGCATTGGTTATGAAGGTATTCGAGTTGGATTTCATGTAAACTAGTGTTTCATATATATAGAGGCATGGTAGAGGTAATACGTGTAGTGATTTGAAATACTGTTTGCAGCTAGTAGTTTTGGTTACCTGCATTATGGCTCTAATGGCTCTCTTTTGTAACTTAAAAATCGACTCTGCGTTTGATGAATGACCCCAAAATATCAATCCATATGATAACAAGGATTGAAAGTATGCATGGTATAGAGTGCGAACAGTCTCGATCCCTAGCACTCTGCTGACTATTCGTAGGGCAAAACATATTTTACATAACTTGTTTGCTAGCTTTTGAGTATGTGTAGACCACTTTAAATTCTTGTCTAGCCATATTCCCAAAAATTTTGTGTATTCCACATTATTGATTTCTTTGCCATAAAATTTTATTGACGGGTATTCTAGGTACATCTTCTGAGTGTGATGGAAGGATATTGCTACCGTTTTCTCTATATTAATAATTAACTTATTCCTTTCGAACCACTCTGTGAGTGTATTTATTGTTTCACTTATTTCCTTTTGGACAACATCGACCATATTCCCTGATATAAAAAGACTGGTATC